ACAGACTATTTTGCTTACTGGAAATAGTAAATTTTAAATCCTTTAGCTTTCAATTAAAGTTTAAATGAAAACCTCAAGAAAGCTTTTTCATTTTTATAAATTCATTTTAAACTTTATGTATACCGAATTCCAGGAGATACCTACTGTATGGTGTTTTAACATTGTAAATAAAACTGTGAATAACATGGACTGAGCATGTGAGCAATTTTAAAGACACTGAAAACAAATAAGACACTTAAAACAAATAAGACATTTTTACTTACAATCAGAAAGGGACTGTTGACATTTCTAGAATACATAACTAAAAAATAGTTTTTGTCGTTTTTAAATCATTTCCTCTCAAGGAAGGCAATAAAACCACTAAGATGCAAGGGGTTACCGAACGTAAAAGAATATCAGAAAAAAAAACATTATTATATTATTATAGCGATAAAAGAAGAGAAATTAAGAAGACAGACGATAGCATTTAAATTTTTGAAGATTATTGTTGTCTTGACAGCAAGAAGCCGGAAGAAATTTCCAAAAACGAGAAGTGCGATAGAAGAAACTGTCAACATAGAACTTGCGGTTACATCTAGCCATTTCGACTGTAAAATGATGAAACTTTGCCGCCAATTTCGTACAGCACTTCAATCCGTAAATTCTAGGTACCAAAGAGGATAGCTCATCAGAACAATTACCACGAAAGTATTTATAGAAAAGGCAGAGGGAAGCTATACGTTATGGAGGTGGGAAAATTACTGAATCCGAGATGCCAGGTCAGGACCAATAATATCGCAGATTCTTCTTTGTATTTTATCAAGAATCTCAGAAGAATCAAACCTACTTCAACGGTATTATTCAAAGCATGGACTAATGCCTTGGCGAATTTGGCATTCACTGGATATCCTAAAGGCAATAGGGTGAGAAAAGGGCAGAATTTAGCCCGCCTAACAAGCTCATGCCAATGGTTGGAAGAACAGTGTGGGAAAGAGAAAGAAAACAGAAAGATAATCCTTGCTAAGAGCTACGAAAGATAATCCTTGCTAAAAGCTACGAAAAGTAGGAGGCTGTGGAGCGCCATCATCGCCTACGACCTAATGAAGCACGGCAAATGAAAGAAGAACAACAAGAGAGAGAGAGAGAAGTTGATATTCCACTAGGTTCGAATGAAATAGTGATTTTCCAAGCAAAGCTTAGCTGTGGCACAAGGCCGAAAGTATGGGGCACCTAGTGAGGATCGAACTCACTACTCAGTCGTAATTGTTCTAGCGAGACAAGCTTGCTAACCATTACACCGCCTGGAGGTGCCCTAGGTTTGAATGGGATATCTATTTATTTCTGTCGTTGTTCTAAGGTAATTACAATACGTTTGTTTGTTTCGTTGTGGGCGTTTTTTGTTTTTGTCTTTAGTTTTTTTGTTTTTTTGTGAAAACCGCTCGTCAAAGACAATCTGTTCTTGACCCCCAGTGACGGTGAATAAGACGCTGTGGACTGAACACCATTTGTTCCCCGTAAAACGATTTGCATAGAGACGGATACTATAACAAGATGTTCCATTTACACCTGCCTTTCTCTAGGTCACGTTACCTACGACGCCCACTTGACTTCCCAAATCGACTTTCGACTGCTGATCATTCAAACACCTTGACTTCAGCTGAACGGACATGGCAGCCTCTTTTTGAGAACGTAAAAAAAAATGATCGCCTTTCGTTTATTTTGGAAATCGTCACAAGGACGCCTCAGACGAACTATGTACGGATCATTGTATCCTGATGGGAATAAAAACAAATGAAGTTAAGCAATTTTTGTGAATAAAATATTTACATAAATTCATACCGTCAGTATTCAGTCATCAAAGTAATATCTCTAGTTTCCAATGACTTTTAATTCCCTTTTAACTACATTGGGTATTCCCTTAAATTCGAGTGTTGCAAAAGTTTCTTTAGCCTATCATATAAACCGGGTGTAACAGCAAAATTGTCCATAGCATGTAACAACATAATTATCCATCCCACGAAATGTTTAATATCTAAACACCACTAAGCTGAGTTTTTTTTCCAGATTTTCCGATAAGACGATTAGCCATCTTGACACCATTTCTTGTAAGAATCACTGAAAAAAACCTTTGAGTTATTCAGCAAAAAAGACAAAAAGGTTAAAATTGTTTTATATCAGACCCACTGTCTTCCCAAGTGAGAAATGGTGAGAGGAAAAAGATCATTCAGGCTTTCAGGAATGATACCAACGTTCATACTCTGGCTTCCATTTTCAAAGTTCATTCAATAACCATCAAGAAAACTCTGAATAAGTTTGAAAAAGGGGAACAGTAGAGAGTAAAACTGTATCAGGAGGTCACAACAGGAAGAAGAGCCATCATTTCAACTTAGATTTAAAGAGATCAATTAGAAAAGATTCAACTCAATTCATTGACACATGAGAGAGGAGTTTCAGCTATGACAGTCCAAAATGCAGTGAAAAAATCTTGAAATTAAAATTGTACGCGAAACCTGTGAGGCACCTTTTTACTCCAGGATAGATAGAAGGTTAGAGAGGGCGAAGATCATCTTGAGTAAGTTGGAAAATAATCCTAGAATATATATATATATATATATATATATATATATATATATATATTTGAACTTAATTTCAATCCTTCATGAGCTTCCGATCCTAAGCTATTCATGATGTATGTAACATCATTTTCGTTTAGAGAGGAATTATACATTCTTATTGCTCAAAATAGAGTCCAATATGTTGACCATGTTCACCATAGTCTATGAATATAGAATACAGCGCAGTACGTAATCTGTTCAATGAAACAACGTTAAAGATTAACACTCACGAGACAGACACTCTACTGAATCTGACTATATCGCCAATACCACCAGCAGCTGTTCCGTAATTCTTCGGTCTTCGATATCAAAGGCTGCCAGTGAATATTTGGGAAAAACATGGCCGCCTTTATACACGTCGCATTGAATATTTTGAGCCTTCTGATTGGTTAACCTTTCTATTGGTGAACTATAAAATGAGTCAGATCATTTTGGCTGGCTCACTAGTACACCAGGGTATCCAAAAATTCCAACACATAGTGTTAAGAAACTCAGATAATTCCAGTAAGTCATCTTTAATCATACCTCAGGTACAGCAGTTTAGAGCTCAATCTAACAATTGGACAATTTTGCTGTCACATGCGATATATATATATATATATATATATATATATATATATATATATATATATATATATATTGTCATCCAGAGACAGACTGTATCACAGCTCATCAGTGTGGCTAAACGTCCGTTTACATCTAGCTATATATATATATGTGTGTGTGTGTGTGTGTGTGTGTGTGTGTGTGTGTGTGTGTTTGTGCGCGCGAGCGCGCGTGTCTTTAGGCAGCCCATTCTCTTTAAGGCATAGCTCAGTGAATAAATTACAAACATGTCAAAATGGCAAAAACGTTATGTAATGTAATGGATAGCTACACATATTTTTACCTCACTAGTTGTACGCCTAATGCTGACCTCACAAAGATATGGAAAGTACTTCGGAAATAAAAGTGATTCTCACTGTTACAGTGCATTTCTTGCCTCATTAAATTGTAATATACGGAAAAATATTCGTGAATATGAAAGGATTATGACCAAAATAAGCAGATATAACGTTTGTAACTTATTCAATCAGACATGCCTGAAAATGAATTTACTACCTAAACACACACACACACACACACACACACACACACACATATATATATATATATATATATATATATATATGAAGAAAAATATACTGAAAAAACAAACAAAAATTCTAATATGCGATTATGCTGTTTTAATGTTTAATGTCAACGTCGGACGATTCGGTCTAATAGACCATCTTCAGAACACATTTATAAAACATAATTAACATAGACCATATACAATTCAACATGAAAAAGACGATGGACATAAAAGCAATACCAATCCAAACAGATAACTGAAATCTTTTATAAGATCAGCGTTCCGTCTAAATATGATCACGTCGTCGTCACGTGGGCGATGTTGTGAAAACATATTCCTAAAATTTCAGTATTTTGAATGAAAAACGAAAAGAATTTTATTTTGATCTAAAACTTATATGTACGTTTGTCGAGCATTAATCTTGCTAGAAAAGGGGAAATATTAAAGAAGCCAGGTCTAGTGTTCACCGTGCGTGAGATAGATATTATGCCTGCTTCATAAATCCGCCTAAGATTTTTATTATGAAAATATTTTAAAATCTTCACAGAATCAAAATCGAAATTATGATCAGCTTTAGTTGTGTGTACAACTAAAGCATTGTTTAAATTACTGAGGCGAATATCTCGTTTATGTTCGAAAACACGAGATTTTACGGACCTACATGCAACAACTGTGACTTAAAATATGTGGGTGAAACATGTAGAATTTTAGGAATAGGTTTTCACAACATGGCCCACGTGACAACGACGTGATCATATTTAAACGGAACGCTGATCTTATAAAATATTACTACTTTTGTAAAACAAAAAAACGAATGCAGACTCATGTTTTTTCGAAGATCTCTATTTTTAGGCCAATATACATTAATTCGAAATGACATATATATATATATATATATATATATATATATATATATATATATGACCTCCCCTTTTAATCGTTTGAATAAATCTTAACCCCCCCACCCCCACCATCGGTGTTGTGTTGTTTTTTCTTTTCTTGTCTTGTTTTTCTATTCTCTCCTTTTTTTTCTTTGGTCACGTGGTATAGTTTTGATTGTCGCCTATAAATATGCCGTTTCTCTTTTGCCTCTTTAGCCAGCTTACCCTGACGATCCGCTCAGGTGAAACCTGGGTAGGTTTGTCTGGCTCACTAGGATTGACTATATATATATATATATATATATATATATATATATATATATATATATATATACCAGATATTCAAAATACAGATTATATGAACGTCTATTTTATTTTTAAGTTACTATAGAGTATCTTAAAATAAATTACTCACATAGATAGATAGATAGATAGATATGGACAACTGAGATAGATAGATAGATAGATAGATAGATAGATAGATAGATATGGACAACTGAGATAGATAGATAGATAGATAGATAGATAGATAGATAGATGTGGACAACTGAGATAGAAACAGACTGGGATAGATAGATAGATAGATAGATAGATAGATAGATAGATAGATAGATAGATAGATGTGGACAACTGAGATAGAAACAGACTGGGATAGATAGATAGATAGATAGATAGATAGATAGATAGATAGATAGATAGATAGATGTGGACAACTGAGATAGATAGATAGATAGATAGATAGATAGATAGATGTGAACGACTGAGATAGATAGATAGATAGATAGATGTGGACAACTGAGATAGATAGATAGATAGATAGATAGATGCGACCATACTGAGATAGATATGAACATAGATAGATAGATAGATAGAGAGAGAGAGAGAGAGAAAGAGAGAGAGAGAGATGCTGCGTATGTTACGTTTTAAATTTACCTTTAGTTAAAGTTTGAAAAGTTTTAAAGTTTACATAACCTTACCTTTAAATATTGTTTTGATGGTCTAAAAATCAATATAAAATGTTCGAGAGATGACGTATGTGCGTACACGACGAGCGTTCAACTAACGGCGGTTATTGCCGGAACTACCAGTCTCTGTCTGTGGATTACGCCAGCCGAAAACAGCGGCCAGTACTGTAACTCACGGACGTTTCGAATTCCAGTCGGACACTACCATTTCTGAGGATTTTGTCCGTTAAATCCGGATACAGTTGGTTTGCGGGACCTTAATTCGAGGTTTTTATATATATATATATATATATATATATATATATGTACCCATGCGAAAGGTGTAAATCTTCTTATTCTCCCTCCAGCTATGGCTAAATAGCAGGACAGACTGGGTTCTATAGCCTTGGATGGCAACTGGTCTAGGAGAAGGACAACTCTGAATTCAAAACCAGCGGAGGGTCATTTGGGGACCTTGTGGCACGTAGTGCACTAGGTCTCTGTATTCGGCCCTTCAAAAAGTGTGGATGGTCCTGCACGATCTCATGTGCTGTCGTCGGGCTGTCGGTTTCCTAGGAACTGATCTGCTTGACCCTCATACGTCGAATTCGACGGAAAAAGTCGAGTATGTACACACACACACACACACACACATATATATATATATATATATATATATATATATATGAGGCTATTTCTGCAGACGACCACTTTCGTCGTCTGCCGAAATAGCCTATTACCCATATGAGGTAAAAAGGTTTTGTTTCATTAGTAATTATATTGCTCTGTATAAATTAAATAAAATACGTTGAATTCTTTTTTGTGGATTAGTTGGAATACTTTCATATTACTAGGATCTACTTGGATTATATATTAAGGTATTTTTTTTACCATATATATATATATATATATATATATATATATATATATATATATATATATATATATAAAAAAAGCTGTTATAGTAGTTCAAACGAGAGAAAAGTGTGTATATTAAAAAGAAGAGAGATACCGCAAACGTTTTTGGTTGTAATGTGGATTTTTTTGCTTTTTTCAATATTATGCTTTATTTTCCATAATTTTACTACACGGGTTTCTGGTCTCGCGACCGCCTTCAGGTAAAATGCGTAGATTTCCACATATTATTAAAAATAATTAATTTTTTCTCCTTTGTTATCTTTTACTCATCTTTTTTTATGGCCGTGTGTTACTTTCTCACCTGTCTTAATTACAGGCACTCTTTCATATATATATATATATATATATATATATATATATATAAACTGCCAGTAATTGTGCAGTGTTTAAGTTTAAATGCACACACACGGTATTGAAGACTTTCCCCCTATAATACTGTTAATGTTAAACAAAATAATTATTTATATATGTAAGCACTTGTATTTGACCCTTAATATACAATAGAATTTTGGTGTCATTCTTTGTCAGTGTTTCGCAAAAGCTACTTAATCACCGAACTTCGTAACCAAAAAGTAAAATTTCGTGAAGCACATTTTCGTTAATAAGACCTTCAATCTCTAGGCCGGTGTATTCATGTGCCAACTGTAAGACGTTTGTTACGTTCACGCATGCGCATTAATACAGGCGATCGAACCAGGGTAATTACGTATTGCACCGTGCCCACTGCTTCGTCGGTACAGTCTGGAAATATCGATCTGCCGCCTTCCGAATGTTAATGACCCAATCATTGTTGGTCCCAAGTGGGGCCAGCGCTTGGCACCGGGCTGTCTGCGGAGACGACTTGAGGAATTACGTACAGCTTCGCGATTACCAAATCGATCCTATTCGTATGCACCTCATCGGCTGGAGAGCAAGAAGCTGCTATCTTTCACGCCGATAGAGAAAAGGACGAAAGCTCTTTCAGAACACTTCTAACAAAAGAAGCCCTACTGTGTCATAAACCCAACGTCGACCTGGCACCATAGATTCTTGAAGGAGATCGATAAAGAAGAAGAAGAAGAAGAAGAAGAAGAAGAAGAAGAAGAAGAAGAAGAAGGGGAAAGTTTGACGAGAGAGAAAAAAAGGCGTTCCCCATCTTGCAGCTATCGTGTGTTTTACAAGTAACCATTTGCCCTAAACACTTAAGGAATGACAATAATGAGAAACGAAGGAAAAATGGAACTTGCAAGTTGTGCATTTCATTTGAGCATTTATCATGGGAACTGGTTAAAAATAACAAATTAAAGATAAAAATAAATTCTTAACGCAAGGAAAATGTCTGTGAAAGAATGATGAATCAAGATATACTCTATAATTTTGAGAAGAGCCATTGTCATTCCAAGAGGTACTTAGATTATTAAACTCAGTTTTTTGCAAATGGCATTACTATAGAATTGCACTTCGAATAATGCTACTATTGAAACCCATTGCAAATAATGTTAATATAGAAATACGTAATAAATACACCTCCTATGATTTTGAAAACAGTCATTATCATTACAAGAGTTATTCAGATTGATTGCACGCTTCGTTAAGCGATGCTACTATAGGATTGCATTGGAAATAATGTTACTTCGATAATACATTGTAAATAGGCGTTCTATCATTTTGAGGAGTGCTATTATGATTCCAAGAGTTGTTCAAACAATGGAACCCATTATTTGCAAATTATATTACTATAGAAATGCATTGCAAATAATGTTTCTGTAAAAATACATTAGAAATAATGTTACTATAGGAATACATTGGAAATAATGTTTCTATAGAAATGCATTGGAAATAATGTTACTATAGAAATACATTGGAAATAATGTTGCTATAGAAATACATTGGAAATAATGTTACTATAGAAATGCATTGCAAATAATGTTTCTATAGAAACGCATTGCAAATAATGTTTCTATAGAAATGCATTGGAAGTAATGTTACTATAGAAATGCACTGGGAATAATGTTTGTATAGAAATGCACTGGGAATAATGTTTCTATAGAAATGCATTGGAAGTAATGTTACTATAGAAATGCACTGGGAATAATGTTTCTATAGAAATGCATTGGAAATAATGTTGCTATAGAAATACATTGGAAATAATGTTACTATAGAAATGCATTGCAAATAATGTTTCTATAGAAACGCATTGCAAATAATGTTTCTATAGAAATGCATTGGAAGTAATGTTACTATAGAAATGCACTGGGAATAATGTTTGTATAGAAATGCACTGGGAATAATGTTTCTATAGAAATGCATTGGAATAATGTTACTATAGAATGCACTGGGAATAATGTTTTCTATAGAAATGCATTGGAAATAATGTTGCTATAAAAATACTTTATTTGCATTGGAAAAATAATGTTTCTATAGAAATGCATTGCAAATAATGTTTCTATAGAAATGCATTAAAAGTAATGTTACTATAGAAATGCATTGGGAAAATGTTACTATAGAAATGCATTGGGAATAATGTTTTCGTAATATTATATAGAAATGCACTGGAAATAATGTTTCTATAGAAATGCATTGGAAGTAATGTTACTATAGAAATGCACTGGGAATAATGTTTCTATAGAAATGCATTGGTAAGTTACTATAGAAATGCACTGGGAATAATGTTTCTATAGAAATGCATTGGAAGTAATGTTACTATAGAAATGGTTTTGGGAATAATGTTTCTATAGAAATGCATTGGAAGTAATGTTACTATAGAAATGCACTGGGAATAATGTTTCTATAGAAATGCATTGGAAATAATGTTTGCTATAGAAATACATTGAAATAATGTTTCTATAGAAATGCATTGGAAATAATGTTACTATAGAAAACACATTCAAATAATGTTTCTATAGAAATGCATTGGAAATAATACTATAGAAATGCATTGCAAATAATGTTTCTATAGAAATGCATTGGAAATAATGTTACTATAGAAATGCACTGGGAATAATGTTTCTATAGAAATGCATTGGAAGTAATGTTACTATAGAAATGCACTGGGAATAATGTTTTATAGAAATGCATTGGAAGTAATGTTACTATAGAAATGCACTGGGAATAATGTTTCTATAGAAATGCATTGGAAATAATGTTACTAGAAATGCACTGGGGAATAATGTTTCTATAGAAATGCATTGGAAATAATGTTACTATAGAAATGCACATTGGAAATAATGTTTCTATAGAAATGCATTGGAAATAATGTTTCTATAGAAATGCATTGAAAATAATGTTACTATAGAAATGCATTGGAAATAATGTTACTATAGAAATGCACTGGGAATAATGTTTCTATAGAAATGCATTGGAAATAATGTTTCTATAGAAATGCATTGGAAATATTTTATTTATAGAAATGCACTGCAAAATAATGTTTCTATAGAAATGCATTGGAATAATGTTTACTATAGAAATGCACTGGAAATAATGTTTCTATAGAAATGCATTGGAAGTAATGTTACTATAGAAATGCACTGGGAATAATGTTTCTATAGAAATGCATTGGAAGTAATGTTACTATAGAAATGCACTGGGAATAATGTTTCTATAGAAATGCATTGGAAGTAATGTTACTATAGAAATGCACTGGGAATAATGTTTCTATAGAAATGCATTGGAAATAATGTTGCTATAGAAATACATTGGAAATAATGTTACTATAGAAATGCATTGCAAATAATGTTTCTATAGAAACGCATTGCAAATAATGTTTCTATAGAAATGCATTGGAAGTAATGTTACTATAGAAATGCATTGGAAATAATGTTTGTATAGAAATGCACTGGGAATAATGTTTCTATAGAAATGCATTGGAAATAATGTTACTATAGAAATGCATTGCAAATAATGTTTCTATAGAAATGCACTGGGAATAATGTTTCTATAGAAATGCATTGGAAATAATGTTACTATAGAAATGCATTGGAAATAATGTTTCTATAGAAATGCATTGGAAATAATGTTGCTATAGAAATACATTGGAAATAATGTTACTATAGAAATGCACTGGGAATAATGTTTCTATAGAAATGCATTGGAAATAATGTTACTATAGAAATACATTGAAATAATGTTTCTATAGGAACTAGGAATAATGTTTCTATAGAAATGCATTGGAATAATGTTACTATAGAAATACATTGGAAATAATGTTACTATAGGAATTTGGGAATAAACTATAGAAATACATTGGAAATAATGTTACTATAGAAATACATTGGGAATAATGTTTCTATAGAAATGCACTGGGAATAATGTTTCTATAGAAATGCATTGATAATGTTACTATAGAAATACATTGGAAATAATGTTACTATAGGAATGCATTGGAAATAATGTTTGCTATAGAAATACATTGAAATAATGTTACTATAGAAATGCACTGGGAATAATGTTTCTATAGAAATGCACTGGGAATAATGTTTCTATAGAAATGCATTGGAAATAATGTTACTATAAAAATACATTGGAAATAATGTTACTATAGGAATGCATTGGAAATAATGTTGCTATAGAAATACATTGGAAATAATGTTACTATAGAAATGCACTGGGAATAATGTTTCTATAGAAATGCACTGGGAATAATGTTTCTATAGAAATGCATTGGAAGTAATGTTACTATAGAAATACATTGGAAATAATGTTACTATAGGAATGCATTGGAAATAATGTTGCTATAGAAATACATTGAAATAATGTTACTATAGAAATGCACTGGGAATAATGTTTGTATAGAAATGCACTGGGAATAATGTTTCTATAGAAATGCATTGGAAGTAATGTTACTATAAATACATTGGAAATAATGTTACTATAGGAATGCATTGGAAATAATGTTGCTATAGAAATACATTGGAAATAATGTTACTATAGAAATGCACTGGGAATAATGTTTCTATAGAAATGCACTGGGAATAATGTTACTATAGAAATGCACTGGGAATAATGTTTCTATAGAAATACATTGAAATAATGTTACTATAGGAAATGCACTGGGAATAATATTTTCTATAGAAATGCATTGGAAATAATGTTACTATAGAAATGCACTGGGAATAATGTTTCTATAGAAATGCATTGGGAATAATGTTACTATAGAAATGCACTGGGAATAATGTTTCTATAGAAATGCATTGGAAATAATGTTGCTATAGAAATGCATTGGAAATACATATGAAATGCATTGCAAATAATGTTTCTATAGAAATGCATTGCAAATAATGTTTCTATAGAAATGCATTGGAAGTAATGTTACTATAGAAATGCACTGGGAATAATGTTTCTATAGAAATGCATTGGAAATAATGTTACTATAGAAATGCATAGAAATGCCCTGCAAATAATGTAGAACTATTGCAAAATGCAGAAATGGGAAATAATGTTTCTATAAATGCATTGGAAATAATGTTACTATAGAAATGCATTGGAAATAATGTTTCTATAAATGCATTGGAAATAATGTTACTATAGAAATGCACTGGGAATAATGTTTCTATAGAAATGCATTGGAAATAATGTTACTATAGAAATGCATCAGAATAATGTTTCTATAGAAATGCATTGGAAGTAATGTTACTATAGAAATGCACTGGGAATAATTTCTATAGAAATGCATTGGAAGTAATGTTACTATAGAAATGCACTGGGAATAATGTTTCTATAGAAATGCATTGGAAATAATGTTGCTATAGAAATACATTGGAAATAATGTTTCTATAGAAATGCATTGGAAATAATGTTTCTATAGAAATGCATTGCAAATAATGTTTCTATAGAAATGCATTGGAAATAATGTTACTATAGAAATGCATTGGGAATAATGTTACTATAGAAATGCATTGTAAATAATGTTTCTATAGAAATGCATTGGAAGTAATGTTACTATAGAAATACATTGGAAATAATGTTACTATAGGAATGCATTGGAAATAATGTTGCTATAGAAATACATTGGAAATAATGTTACTATAGAAATGCACTGGGAATAATGTTTCTATAGGAATGCATTGGAAATAATGTTGCTATAGAAATACATTGGAAATAATGTTTCTATAGAAATGCACTGGGAATAATGTTTCTATAGAAATGCATTGGAAGTAATGTTACTATAGAAATACATTGGAAATAATGTTA